AAGGTATATGAAGAAGAAGAAGGAGGACTGTCTCCCCAATGGTAGCTGCACCCAACTAAAGCCAGGGTTGAGCTCTTGCCTGCTGAGCCTTCGCTGGCAGCCAGCTCAACGTGTTGCGACGCGTCGCTGTCAAAGCGAAACGAGTTGGCAGCGCAAATAAGACAAGCTAGACTGCTCTAGCGGGCAGTACGAGACTAAAAAGTACCCTAGCTCGAACTATATTGGGGTAGGTTGCATACGTAGACAAAAGCATAGTCGCTCACTTGATGCAGAGATTGCGCTTCTTCTGACTACAGCTCCTACTTTATGTAAATTAGTTAGTATCTCAATAACATAAGTTCGACTCTATTTGTAGAGCCCTAAGAAAGATTACAGCTCATGAATATGGTTAAGAATTGACTATATGTACCAAACGCCAAGAGTTGACAGTGTGGAATGAGCTTGGCTTACGGGGAAGCTATTCCATGTAGTATATTCATCTATCTATCTGCCTACTCAGCGAAAAAGGGCTTCTCACAATGCTTGAAAACCCAATAAAATCGTCGTTCAAAGAGACGAATAGACCAGCAGACAGAAATGGCAAGATTAATCGAGTTCTTCATTGAGCTTAAGTGTACACATAGCCTCAGATTCCCACATCATCTGCATTCAATATTCTCTATCCTATAACTCATATACCTCGCTCACCCATTTACAGGGTATACTGAAAAACATGGCGCTTGCACTGAACTCTATTGCACTTTCGCTTATGCGACTCAAGAGCTTTGAGTGAAGCGCTTTAAGGCTAATTTTTGGGGGAATGGGCTTATAAGCGCTTAAGTTAACATTTTAGAGCGATGTGTATGGCTGGCTGTTAGCTTTAAACTGGCGCTGTTAAAGAGCTGGTTCAGTTACTGTTTTAACAGCAAATGTTAGATTGCTGTCTATTACTTGTAGCTTAACAGAGCATACTATAGAGCTACTTAAGTGTACTAAGTTAACATATGTATTACATATGTTATGAAATGAAAAATATATATGTAATGTTAATGTTACATATATGCGATATCTGTTAAACTACTGTAAATAAGCCGAGTTGCCGATGTTATGTTATTAATATGTTAAATTGCATAGACGTAACATACTATAGAAAGGTTAACCGGCACTGTCGGGAACTTTTTTAGCTTTATCTTATTTAACTCTTTTATGCTATTTCTCTGTTGAGTTACTTTAGTATTATTGGTAAACAGAATACAGCTATGTTAATGCCAACAGCCATACTTTTTAAGCATTTTGGCTTTGTCTTATTGTTCTTGGATCAAGCTGGCAAGCACAGCCACATCTTAACTGCAGCTCACGTAGCCTTTCCATGGATTCTCTAGAGTCATCAGCATTATAATGCATCTACTCTCTCCTACTTTTTTTTTTTTTTTTTTTTTTTTTAACATTCTCATGCTCGCTTTGGGTGAGAGTAAAGGGAGTTTATTAGTTCTGTATAGTGTTTGATTAAGAGTAGATATAAATATATAATATTAAATATAAATAAGGCTGTCGACGAAATCTGTCGAAAATCAGTTAAATCTGTATTCGAGCTAGAATACAGAATTTTGGGCAAGAGAGTTTTTAAGGCATTCATCTACCATTGGATCTATAGACAACATTATTCGTTGAGTTATATCTCGCAGTTTTATGGTTTGGCCTCAAGCTCTTTGGCATTTCTATGCCTTTTAGGGCGTTAGGCAAGTGCACCTCAGGATCTATTAGTTCTCCTTGGATGAGAGCTACATATTATGTGGTCCAAAGGATTTCTTGAGCCAGTATCTAGCAGTCATTTATTTCTTTTCATAGTAATATTCTTACTCACTCTCATAATATCTCTTGGCCTTTTGTTGCACTCATTATGGAGCAGTGTCTGCTTGGCTGGTTGGTTCGCTCTTGGTTATTTGTTGGAGGCAATGCAACAGGCATCAAACTTGACGCCTTTTTGTTGTTGTTTTTGTTTCTCGTTTTTTTTTTCTGCTGCTTTTGTCTGGTATAAATTCAGTTCAGGTCTCGTGCGATTTTTCTGGCCACATGGCTGGCTGCACTTCAATCAAAATCAAATATTACAAGCCGTGGCAATGGGACCTGCTGCTGCTGAGTTATGGCCAAGCAGCAATAGGAGCGGGAGCAGGAGCAGCCATGCAGCCATGTGGCATTCGACCCTGGACGGCAGACACACACATTCATAGTGTATCCAACTATCCATCTATCCATATGCATTTCGCAATTCTCTGCCTCTTTTGTTGTGGCCCGACTCTGGCAATGGCTTGATTACGCACGTTTATTACTGGTTGCGGCATCGATTCCGTACTCTTGGTCATACGGCTTACGGTTACGGATGCCGGATATGCTACGGCTACGGTGCTGGGCTAGGTACGGGTCGGGCCAGGCTAAAGCATAGCCGGGCCTGGCCTGGCCTGGCACGGCCCAGGGCCAGCTCTATGCCTTGCTCATCAATATGCGACGTGTGAGCTGCAAATGTACAACATGATTACTTGCAAATCACGTGATTGTGATTGGGATTATTGCACACACACACATGCATACTCGCATAGATGTTGTGGGCGTTCTATATTTGGTTGTTGCTGCTCCCAGCAATTGTTGGACATGCTCAAAAATTCATGGCAGCGTAACGCTCTCAATTTTTACTTTTTTCATTATATTTCTAGTTTTTCATGCTTTAATACCCTGTATATCGCAAAGCTCAAGAGTTTAATGTATAGATGGAGATAGTTATGTATATATAGGGATATAGGAAGGGAGATACATAGACTTATAGACTAATAGGTATATAGATACATATGTGAAGTGCAGATAGAAAGACAACAAGCCAACATTAAAATTTACTCCATTACTTCGCTCTATTACTCAACTCAACTTTTGATAGATCATATACAATATACAGACAATATATGTCCATTTTCCTCTTCATTTCTCAGTTTACAGGGTATGCCGATCGTCCATTTGGCTTTCGTTACTATCTACTTGTCTTTCGCTCAGTATGTAATTAAGAGCTGTGCAGTTGGAGTATTGAATTCATTTGGCATATTTTCGATTTGGCTTCAGTTTATTTCGTCTATAATAATGCAAATTTTTAATCGAAATCAGAGGCCATCGAGACATGTGATAACGTGTCGTTGGCTCCGCCAAGCAATATGCGAAAGTTGCAATCAAATTTCGACAACTGAGCCAACTCAAGCTGCACTGCTGCAGCCAAATAAGAGCAAAGAAATCGAAATAATCGAAAGTAGCAA